AGTATTCCTTCGCTCGCCCCAGGCGATCGACTCATCCTAAGATCAACCTAAGTCCACTCGCCCTTGTTCACCGACCTATCACCTCAGAGACACTCGTCTGGTCTAGACGACTGACCACTTCTCCACCACCGCACTCCTCTCTACTCGGTCGGATGGAGCGGAAGACCTAACTCACCCACGACTCCAAGATTTCACCCTGTTCGGTCAGGTAGACTGATCGAACGAACCCATACTTAACCTAACTTCGCTTTCCCGGATTCCATCCAAAACAGTCGAAAATCACCCGGAAACGGACCACTCCACTAGAAACCCCTCGGAAAATCCCAAATTCACACCTATTTTAGAAAAAATGTAACCTAAACACCCCAAATCCCACTCAAAGTTACCGGAAACTTCAAAAATCCCAACCTCTCTTCTGAAAAACTCGAAAAATACCTCAGCCTCTCCCAAAACCTCAGCAAAAAAAAAAAAAAAAAAAAAAAAGAAAACGAACGAACAGAACAAAGGGAACAAAACTTACCAAAAAACGTGCCGAAAATTGTAGAAGGGAACCACTGCTGCTCAGGAAAACTGGAACGAAAATGAAAAGAATAAGAGAAAAAGAAAGAAAAACAGGTTGCTATTCAAACACAAATGGAATACGAACGGTCCATTCATCAGTTTTTATAAAAGAAACCTAACAGAAACGGACACGTGGTGGCTTGCTACTGCACAATTGTCAGGGCGCCTCTTCGTTTTCCCGCCTCGAAAACAAGGATTCGATCCCCACCGAACACGTGGCAAGCATTCGTGGCACCTCGGAGATCACGATGCTGTACGAGAGCCGTGCCCAATCACCCTGTCATACCGACCGAGTCAACACGTTATTCCCCCTGGTCGACCAGCTTGAAACGACCCAGTCCGAACTCCGTATATTGAAAGGGTAGGAGGCCTTGTCCCTTCATCCCTCCATATCGGACGAACGGACAGACCATGGTCGGAGTTCACATATCCTTTCCACTCGATCGCCCGATCCTCCCGACTGACTTAGTCTTTGACTCTTGAAGGCACTCAAAATGCCCCATGTTTCCCTAGCCCAGAACACCCGGCCGATCGATCGATCAGCTTGGAACGGCCTGGCTGGAGCCCTCTTCAGAAAAAGGCAGGAGGCCTCGCCCGTTCATCCTTCCGTAGTGGACAAATGGACAATCTTTGGTCTATCTCATCAACTCGATCGTCCATGCATCCCGACCGAGCGAAAACTTTTAGGCTAACAAGCTCCCCACTTCACTTGACCCAGCATACCGAGCAAACGCCTAGGTTGCAGATTGATCTCTCCTCTCAGTCGATTGGACCTACCGAACGAGCACGTGAGCTCCAAAGCCTGCTTATCTTACCCTTCGGCCCCTCATACCGATCATGCACGACCTTGCAAGGATAATACACTCTGGACCGGGAATGGATGTCGAACGATTCCAACCAAGGATCACTTGCAATGATCGGATCAGCTATACCAACAATCGGCCATCCAGGAAAGAAGACCGAATGCCCCCTCGACTGTTTCCTACTCTCTGACTTCAGAAACTCTAAACTCAGAGAGTGGGGGGCAAACTGTTAGTGTCAAAAATCATCCTTGGCCCAAATAGAAAAACTGGCCTGACACTAAAGAGGAAGCCACGCCCAATCCCGATATGACCCAACCAGATTAGGCCCTTTTGGTACAAAATATAGCCGGCCCAAACCACGAGGGCGCGAGCCTCCTAATCCCAGTCCATCTTCCAAGCCCGTAGGCAAATCCAGAGCCCACGACCCCCTCAGGATAGTTTCCTACTCCTGATCAATCTCCCATTCAAGATCATCTTCCTATTCCTAATCACTTTCCTACTCGGAGTTACTCTCCTAATCAAAATCAAATCCGGACACTGGTAGGACAACCTACCACGACCCTAATTCTTCTAGGGTTTGCATCAGAGTCACACTAGGACTCCTACTTCTACCAGGATTGGGAGACCAGACAGTCACTATATAAGCAGAGGCCAGCCCTCTCACAAGGGGGACAGAACATTACACCTTCATATTGAGAGCTCTGACTTGAGAGCTTCACATCACCGCCATAGTCACAGTCCCCGACTAGACTTCCGGTAATCTCTACTACCTAACCCTCACTATATTGGCCTCTTTCAGCCTTACTGACTTGAGCGTCGGAGTGCCTACGGCAAACACCACCCCGGTGTTTCTCGTTCGCTTCACGCGTATGTTTCTCTATGTGTGCAGGTGCAGCGGATCGCTAGTGGCCTCAACCTCACGGGATCAGACCCCCTCTTCCGTACAGGTAGATTTTTACGTCTACAATATTCTTGCCTCAAAATTAAGACCAAGTACTAAAAGTCATGTTAGGACCAACAAAACGATAACAGTTGACATGGATTGTCAAGTTGAGCTATGTTTTTAACAATTCTCCCCAGTTCATAAGTGATGAAATTGCCAGGATTAAACAAGTACTAATAGCATGGAATTCCAAGGCTGATGATGAAAAAAAGAACAATTCCCACTAATTGCTACCAGACTAACCACAAAAGAGAACAAGGGACAAAAAAAAATAATAGAAGACTTTTATTTAGGGAAAATTAGAGAAGTTCAGTAAAGCAAGTTAGTAAAATTCAAGACACATGATTTCAGGTTCGAATCTTCTTTATTCCTAAGATTTATACGGATGATCAAATGATGGATGTTGTATTAGTCACCTACAAAAATTAGTTGAGGTGCACACGAGCTGGCCAGACCCTGTTTCAAAAAAAAAAAAAAAAAAAAAAGTTAGTAAAATTCCAAAACAGTAGTAACAAATTTTGTTATTGCTTTCTATACACTGATAAAATATAAGTGGGAAAGTGGTTTCTATATAAAGGCTCTCATATAGTAAAATGAGAAGTAAACGAAGTGCATTTTCAAGCACTTGAAAATAACAGCCCCAGCCCAATATTAAAATTTGTCCGAGAACAAACCCACCGATTTGGGTTTACACGGACAAATTGTCATATTGTTTTCTTTTATCTGTTTTTCATTATTTAGTGTTGAGACTGTGAGACTTGAGATCATGGTTGTTAGTATCCTATGATACGCGATACGTATCCTATCATACGATTTGATATGCATCATCAACAATACGTATTAGTGAGTGTATCTTAAACTTTTCAATACGTTGATATGTATCCTACGATATGATACGTATTTGTTTATATCCTTAAAAATATTAATACAAATCGATACGACTTTATTAATTTTGGTCAAAGGTCCAAAAAAAATTTCAAGTCAAATCCAAGTCACCCAACTCGATTCACTAAAACCTGCCCAAATTTATTCATTTTACATGGAGAAAGTGAAAAGGAAGATATATTGCCCATTTTGCATGATAATAATAACACAAGTAGAGTTATAGATATTGACATTGATCTTGAAAATGATATGAATGGTTAAAAGGAAATAATATAAATTCTCAATTTTATGATAAATTTTGATTATGTAATATCATAATTTAAAGCCAATAATATCACAAAATTTGTTAATTAATCATAGGGATGATATTAATTTTTTAAAAAATTTTATTATTTTATTAATTTTTTTTAAAAGACGTATCTGACGATACGATACGATACACGATTCGAAAAATTAGGTTTTCAATACACGATACGATATACGATGTAACAATCATGCTTGAGACCACTACAAGAGACAAAGATTATCATAAAATGAGAGGATAATTGATTGAAATGTAAGAGGTTCTTGCTGACGTGAAGCCTAATTTTCTAGTATAATCATGACTTGAGATAGTAGGATTTGACCGTATTTCTATAATAAATAATAATAACGATAATAAAAATAATAAAAGATTTATGATAATGTGATATACATGAATTTCAGAATTATTAATTTAAACATAGTGTTCAAAGTTCGATTGTTTCAAATTAAAAAGCTTTAAGATTAAAGAACGTTGATGGTGATAGAGATATTTAAAAAAGATAAACACTTATATAGAATTCGTTTTTCGAGAAAGATATGATATGTAAATATTTAATCTGTAACAAAGAATAAGTTATCATGAGTTCATCATTTTAGTAGTTTATGTGACAACAAATGTGGTAAACAAGTAGTGGCAGTAACATCACGGAAAAAACAACACAAAAGATGAAGCTTTCTTCTCCGTTTAGGAGACTATCAAAAGAAACTTAGGTCGTACATGGGATTAAGGCCGGATCTATCATCTGATGCCCCCACCCGCCCACCAAACTTTTGAAATTAAATTTCATTTTCACACATTGACCCCCCCAACCAACCAACTTGCTTTTAAGAATTCCCCCACACTCTTAACTCTTGCCCCTTCTTGGCCCTAATGGGATTAGGATTTATTAGAGCCGATGGTGGGCTGTACCCGCCCATGACACAAAAAAAGCACGGTATGAAAAAAAGCATGGCACGACATGACCCATGATTATGCGGGCCATGTCGTCGGCCTCAAAAAAGGCACGTGGGTCGATGCAAAAAAAATAAATTATTGTCTATGTTTATAGTTAAGATATATTTGAAGATTTTAAGAATTTAGAAATTAATGAAAATGAAGATGTATAATAATTTTTAATCCTAATTTCTAAATTTGTATTTGTAATTTATAATAATGACTTATAAGTAATTGATAATCCGTAAATTATACAGTTTTTATTTAATCTTTTTGTCGGATTTCAGGTACTTTCTAGTGCATTTTTACCTGAATTGGTGCTTAATTCTGTACTTTTCGTGTTTCAGGTTAAAATGGACTTTTTGTANAACAATCCTGCTTGTGACCACTATAAAATACAAAGATTTACCGTTTAACAAAGGGTTTACAAAAAATCTCAAAAGATTAACTGATTGAGCAGAAGAGGGAAAAAGAGAGAGAGAGAAATGAACATGTGGACAAGCAACCAAAGGCTTATCTTATTTACTTCATAAAAATGAGCAACTTATATAAAGGCCGAGTTGAAAAGTATAAGTGGATATTGAGTTTCACACGGAGAGACACAGCCATGGCAGGCCTCACTCTCCCACACTCCATCCATGGCGGGAAATCTCCCTTCATCTCTTTCCCTTCTTCTTCCACACCAATATCAAAGTGCACTTCTTCCCTCTGCTCTGGTTAGTATCTCCTCAGAGTTCTACACTTCATCCTCTGTGTTCATGTTGATGCTGTTTGTTTCTAATTTGTGTAAAAGTTTCAAATTTGGCGTTGTTTAGGATATTGATTTAGTTTGACTGTGATTTGATTCATATTGGAACAACCCCATTTCGTTTTTATTGTGAATATTTTTGTTTGTTGGTTTTGTGAAGCTGTGTTTATGGTGTTGGTTTTTGTAAATAAAAGATAAAAGCTTCAAACTTGCGGCTATTTGGACAAATTAAGGAACTTTGAAGTGTTATTCCAATTATTTGAAATAACCCCATTTGGTTTTAATCTTGAATTGCTTAGTTTGTCAGTTCTATTTAGCATGTAAATTGCTTTTGTTTTTAGTGTTGGTTATCTGTTTTCTCTTTTTTAAATTGGTACAACTCTCAAAGTTAGAGCTTATTTTCTGGAAAACTAATGAATTTTGAATACTAATATCAAACAACAACCCCATCTGGTTTTAGTCGTGAATTACTTTTGCCCAATTTTTTGGATTTGTTTTGCAAGTTAATGAACTTTGAACTCTGTTTTTGCTTATTTGAAACAACCCTTTTGCTTTTAGTTGTGAATTACTTTCGCCCACTTTCTTTCTTATTTATCTTTTTATATGAAACATGGAACTAGATATATTAATAATTAGTAAAGATAAAAAGATGGACAACCAACCGTCCACCAAAAGATAGTAAACAAACAGATAAAACAAATACAAAAATGGTATAACTTAATATAGCGTATGTTGTGTCATGCATTCGTACTCTATTAGTTTTGTGTATGATATATAACATCATTGGACATCTTTTCTTCCTTAGGATCTATTTTTTGTTTATTTAGTTTGACTAAGATTCCTGTAGCTGGTTTAGGACTTTAACATTCAGTGATTCTGCCTTGAGTCTTGACAGGATTTGCTGGCTTTGTTACAGGGATCATCACTCGTTTTTCCCCGAGTATCTTGCGCTGTGGGCGTTGTCTTCAGAGAGGAGCCAGGGGTGTGAAGTTTAGAACAAGAAGTACATCAGGTTGCTGTATTTAAATATTATAAACTTGTGAGAGTGTTTTCTCAATTATCTTCAGCTTCTATCTGCAAAGGATACTGTATTTATCTAGTTGCTTTTCAGCATCGATACAGCCTATGACTGAAGAACTGATGGAGGATGAGTCCAAGGATTTCCCTGTGAGTGGAGACTCAATACGTCAAAGATTTCTTGATTTTTATGCTTCTCGGGGCCACAAGGCTCTTCCAAGTTCTTCTCTTGTGCCAGATGATCCCACTGTTCTACTGACAATTGCAGGAATGCTTCAATTCAAACCTATATTCCTCGGACAGGTATGGCAAAGTTTTAATTGAAGTCCACCAAGATACAAATAAGATCAGGATGGCATAAATTTTCAGATGTCGGGATCTGGTTACATTTTGTTTGCTTATCCATTATGGCATTTTTTATCATTGTTTTCTTTGTTTTGCTCAAACCTTTTTTCACAACTTCTTATTTATTAATTCTTTATGGTTCAATTTTTTTTAAATTTATAATTGTTTGAAAGAAAATGAGATGGTGAAGAGTCATGCCAATGGTATCTAGTTGATATTGTCTGGATTGTTTGTGTGTATGTATGTTTGTATGATTTTTGGTGTTATATGTCTGCTAAATTTTCTGAATTGTTAGTTGCCTTTCTCGTTGTTGTCAAAGAGTATTTTGATCCTACTCAACAGGGTTAATAAAACCTTTTCAGATGCCCAGGAAAGTACCTTGTGCTACAACTTCACAGAAGTGTTTACGTACTAATGACGTGGAGAATGTAGGCCGAACGACCCGACATCACACATTTTTTGAAATGTTAGGAAACTTCAGTTTTGGAGATTACTTCAAAAAAGAGGCAATCCAATGGGCGTGGGAGCTGTCAACTGTAGAGTAAGCTTCAATTGATAATTTTCAATGAGCTACAATTCTTGGGATATATTGTTTGTGCTTCTTTGTGGAATGACGATGACAGTCTCAAGGTCATTTACTCATCATTCTTTTCTTTCAGTAAGAAAGTTTAATTATATGCTTACTGCTTTTGCTTACAGGTTTGGTTTGCGAGCCAACAGATTATGGGTTAGTGTGTATGAAGATGATGATGAAGCTTTTGAGATATGGGTTAAGCAGGTAAGCTAGACAGGGACTCATCATTTCTTATATGTTTAGTTATGAGAGCTCCCTATAAGTGATTTAACAATACAGGTTTGCATCAGGTTGGGATTCCCATTGAGCGTATTATAAGGATGGGTGAAGATGATAACTTTTGGACCAGTGGAGCTACAGGTCCATGTGGCCCATGCTCTGAAATTTATTATGACTTTCATCCTGAGAGGGGATATTCGAATGTGGTATGTCAAGATGAATCCAAGTGAATCTAGTTTATATATATTGCCTATTTTACTTATTAATCTTTATCATTGTGAGGGGAAGAGGAGATTTTCTTTAGAGATTATTTTTTCATATCTTATCTTTCTTCTATTTGGAATTAATTTCCAGGATCTTGGAGATGATACTAGGTTTATAGAATTCTACAACTTGGTTTTCATGCAATATAACAAAAAGGATGACGGATCACTTGAACCCTTAAAACAAAAGAATATAGACACTGGTCTTGGCCTGGAGCGCATGGCCCGCATTCTTCAAAAGGTATTCAATTAATCTGAAGTCCACCCTGTTTTTCATTAGTAAATGAGCAATCTTTTTCTTTTTTCATGTCAAAGCAAAATTGATGGAATCGTTGGTTGCTTACTTCTATGCTAACATACACATGTTAATGTCAAAAAGTTTAATATTAGGCATACTTTCACTTTGCAGGTTCCAAACAATTATGAAACAGACTTGATTTATCCCATTATAGAGAAAGCTTCAGAATTGGCAAATGTCTTGTATCATCTGGCTGATGATCGCACAAAGTTATATCTAAAGGTATGTTTTGGTTTAACATATTGAAAGAATTTGAACTGTTTGATTTCACAAATAGTCCTTTCATAAGACATAGGATCATTCATAGAGAGTTTTATTTTTCACAGATTATAGGAGATCATTCGCGTGCAATTGTTTATCTAATATCGGATGGAGTTTTCCCCTCAAATATTGGTAGAGGTTACGTGGTTCGGAGGCTTATCAGGAGGGTTGTTCGTACAGGTAGATTGCTTGACATAAAGGGGGATGGTAGGGGTAATCCTGAAGGGGCATTTTTGCCATCCATTGCAGAAAAAGCAATAGAATTAAGTACCCACATTGACCCAGATGTAAAGGCTAGAGCACCTCGCATTCTTGAAGAGTTGAAAAGAGAAGAACTTCGCTTTGTGCAGACACTAGAAAGAGGAGAAAAGTTGCTTGATGAAATGCTTAGAGCTTGTAAGAATGAAAATAATCCTGTTCTCACAGGCAAAGATGCATTTCTTTTGTATGACACTTATGGATTTCCAGTGGAGATAACAATTGAAGTGGCTGACGAACATGGCATTAGTGTAGATATGAATGGTTTTAATGATGAGATGGAAAACCAAAAGCGTCAATCTCAGGCAGCACATAATGTTGTTAAACTTGAAGTTGGTGATAGAGCAGATCTTGCTGAAAAAATTCCAGACACTGAATTTCTAGGATATGATACCCTATCTACCAGAGCAGTTGTGGAAAGCCTCCTGGTTAATGGAAAACCAGTGATAAAGGTTTCTGAAGGAAGTGATGTGGAAGTTTTGCTAAACAGGACACCATTTTATGCTGAATCAGGTGGTCAAATAGGGGATCACGGTTTTCTATATGTTAATCAAGGTACAAACCAACAGACTGCTATTGTGGAAATAAATGATGTTAAAAAATCGCTAGGTAATTTGTTTATTCATAAGGGCACTATTCGAGAGGGAGTTCTAGAGGTTGGCAAAGAAGTGGAAGCTGCAGTCGACCCAAAACTGAGGCAGCGAGCAAAGGTACTAACTAACTGCAGGTTACATTTTTCTTCTCCCTAATTCTGAAGTTTTAGTACTGTAGGCACAATATATACTTGAGATCAAACTTTGATGTTTTACAGGTTCATCATACCGCTACCCATTTGTTACAATCTGCACTTAAGAAAGTAATTGGACAGGAAACATCACAAGCTGGTTCATTGGTGGCTTTTGATCGTCTCAGGTTTGATTTTAACTTCCACCGACCACTTCTTGACACTGAGCTTGATGAAATTGAAGGATTGATCAATGGATGGATTGGGGATGCCACGCTTCTTCAAACGAAAGTCATGCCGCTAACTGAAGCAAAAAGTGCCGGAGCTATTGCAATGTTTGGAGAAAAATATGGAGAAGAGGTTAGAAATTTATTTGAAATTATGACAACAACCTTAATTAAATTTTACCCAGTCTACCCACATACATGTTTTACAATCATTGTTCCCTGAGAATATCATAGAGGATACATCATACATCAACAAAGTGATTTAAAGGATTGCTTGGGAATGTATCCTTTTGTTTCTATCAAATAGTAATGTACATATCCTAGTTGGTCTTATCAGTATCAATGGTGGTTAAGAAAAGGTTAAAAGATATATAAAACATAAGAATTGAATTCAAGTCTCTAATTTTGAATTGTTAAAATTAGTGACCCATGAATAACAAGGTCAGAAAATTTTGGATGTTACTTCTCCTGCCATGACACCTGTATGTTATCATGTGATCACCTTGGGAAGATTTGGCACTTGAACTACTGCCATGTAGTAGGCTTGGAATTTGAACTCCATATATGAATAGGAAAAATAACATTTTAGAATCAATGCGATGGAAACAAATGTGGATTTTTGAATTTATACTTGGAATAAGTTTGGAGGAAGGTGTTTTGTCTTGGTAGATTTATCTATATAAACATCAGAAGGAATATATTTATGACCGAGAATTATGACATGCAATAAGAAGCCAAACTAGTTTTTCATTTTCCTATTTTGTTGCAGGTACGTGTTGTGGAGGTTCCAGGTGTATCTATGGAACTTTGTGGTGGAACCCATGTCAACAATACTTCTGAAATACGTGCCTTCAAAATAATCTCAGAGCAGGGAATCGCATCCGGAATAAGGCGCATAGAAGCTGTTGCTGGTGAAGCTTGCATTGAATACATCAATGCCAGAGATTATCATATGAAACAACTGTGCTCCACTCTCAAAGTATGTTTACTCCTTATGAAACATTTATATGGATCGTGAGCAGATGTTTTGATTATTGTTAAGCATATGTTTAACCTGTCTGACACGTATCTGTAGTAGTAACATTCCCGTGAAGTGAGGTAGTCCACATTTATCAAATTGCCTTTTCTTTTGGGGATCTGGCTTTTCATTATTTAATAGAGCTTGATCTTTTCTTTTCCTTAAGAGAAGTAGAACCTAACCTGATATCTAGAACCTTTGTCCTCAAATTGCATTTGGTGCTCCTCTTGCCTTTAAATATATATTATTATGGTTGAAAGATATGGGCGAAGTCATATCCGGAATGAGAAAGAACATTAAACTTTGTCAAACACAGTTAAGATGGTTGTGTTTTTCGTTTATCCCAATTTCTAATTTTGAGAATACCCAGCTGTCAGGAGGAATTTATAGTTGTCCTATATTTGTTCAATAAAGCACTTTCATAGGTTCTTTGGCTTTTCAATGCATTGGTGCTTTTTATTTTTTCTATTATTCCTCGTGAACCTTACAAGGGTAAATATCTCAGTGTTATATAATGTAATGTTGTGAAGGTGAAAGCTGAAGATGTAACAACCAGGGTAGAAAGTCTCTTAGAAGAGTTGCGAGCAGCAAGAAATGAAGTTGCTGCTTTGCGTGCGAAAGCAGCAGTATATAAAGCATCAAATATTTCAAGCAAAGTATTCACAGTGGGGACCTCAAAGAAGATAAGGTAATTATCTGCAACGGTATATATGCATTTGCACTTGCACTGTTATAATTCTCGGAGGAAAAGGGAGAAGGAGAGAATCAAGAAATATCAAAGTCCTCCAGGAATTGCACTATCAAGTCATATCTTTTATATACGACACTGACATGAGATTCTTGTTACTTTACCTTTACCAGCTGCAAACACAAATATTTTTTGATCTTCTTTACAAAGATAAGTTAAATAAAATAATAAATAATTCTGTTGTGTAATGGTACCATAATGAATTTATTTATTTATTTTATTTTTATTTTTTTTGAAAAACAATCTGTGGCAGGGTACTAGTTGAGTCCATGGACAATATTGATGCTGATTCACTAAGAAGTGCAGCTGAATATTTGGTGGATATGCTTCAAGATCCTGCAGCAATTATTTTGGGCTCCTGTCCAGAGGAAGGAAAGGTGAGTTTGGTTGCTGCCTTCACTCAAGGAGTTGTTGATCTGGGTATTCAGGCAGGGAAATTTATAGGTCCCATAGCTAAGTTGTGTGGTGGAGGAGGTGGTGGCAGGCCCAATTTTGCTCAGGCAGGTGGGAGGAAACCTGAGAATTTATCAAGTGCCCTTGAAAAAGCTCAAGCTGATCTTGTCTTAATTATATCTGAAAAGGCAAGCTGAAACTCCATTACTCATTAGTACATCAAGGAATTTCATACAACAGTTTTTCTGAGGGCTCCTCACAATGTCATGTGAATAACATTTGGGGTAACCATACTTCTCATTGTATAGCAAAACATTGCCATGGCTTGACAAAATTGCCTTTTTATTTGTTGTATTTTATGGTAGGTAAAGAAATGTAGAGGACAGGTTTGTTCTAGCAATAGGGTAAATAGAGGCATGGCCTTTAGTGTTGCATGCTATACATTCAACACCAATTGTAAAACCTTTTAGCCTCTAAATTCTGGTTACTATCACAGTTCATGTAGAGAGAAAATACTTCAAAATTGTTTTTGTGGTGTCGTAAGCAGACAAAGGTTATTGGAAACAGAAGCAATAAACTAGATCCTTAGGAACAAGTTAGAATTCTGAAAAGCAGTTTTTAGATATGCAAAACCGTCTGTTGGTTGTTGGATACTCTTATCTAAAGAAATGGAAAGCTACAAAGAAAATCTCTTATACATTGGCTTCTGTTGTTTGAAAAGTGCATAGCTTTGCTCATTGTGGTGACCAAATATTTTAAAATATTTCCCCACCTGGAAAGAGAGATTCTAGAATTTATGATGTCCTTTAGTGCTTCAGCCATTCTCATCTTTAAATATTGTGGTTTCTGTTTCTAGTGTTGCCACTAGTGCAGAAGCTGAACCGCAATAAGTCCAGGTTGAGTCTGGTTTAAGCGTGAAAATGAAGCCAATCAAGAACTTTGGTCGGTCAATTTCCTCTTTTATGAGCACTTACATTTACAAGGCATCATAAAATTATCTTATAGTTTCACCTTCCACTACCACAGCCTCCCTTTCGTTCACAATTAGTGCACATCAAAGTGGATGATTTCCTCGTCAGGTCACTCTAGAAACTAAACTACAAATAAAATATGTACACGTCCATGCTTAATGTTTGAATTTTTGTAATGAAATGACAGCATAATTATGCATGAAGTTGTTGCTTCATCGTCATCAACAACAATTATTAGTTGTGCAATACCAATTTCTATTTCGTTATTTTAGAGTATGGAGATTTGGTATTTGATACAAATACCAAAATTGCTATGTGATGGAAATTAAATAATCTTTAATACCATTTATTGATACTGCTATCATCACTCATCAATAACTCATTTTAACAAAAAAAAATATTTTTATCAGCTATTATATATTCTCCACGGCCAGGCAAAGCCTTCAAGACATACAACTTGGTTTGATTTGGTCTGATTTTGTGTAGTCTGTATACTATCTGTTGCAAGATATATGCATGGTAGTGGCATTGCTTCTGTAGTTGAGAGTTGAGAGTTGAGACTTCATGGTTCACAGTCAATCTATCAATAAATCTTAGAAAGGTATATGTAAATATTGATTGATATTAACTTTGTCGAAACTATCAATAAACTTGTACATTCAATGATGACCTGTAGTAAATGTACCGATATCTTATCTTCAAAGGCAATTTAGCTGAATCTTTTGAATATATATATATATATATATAGGGACAAGATGGCATTGTGCTGGCTGATATGGATCAGCTCTAAGTTAGCTAGAAAATTATGATTGCTGGTCTCACCATGGACCAAAAAGTGTTAGCACCATGCCCAGGCAGGCAGCTGTATGCAATAGCTTCAAGTGGAGAATTTAGAGAACATTGTGGTTTACACCAATTACCCAACTGCAACCTATTTTCTAGGAAAAAGACAGTCAGAAAGCCTACAATCTTTGACTTGGAATGAAAATTGAAAATACCCACAAAAAAATATTAAGACGTTGGAAGGTAGGTAGTGGATCCAAAAAGAACCATTTGTTCAGCTCCTAACTCCCAAAAACAGAAGAATTAACAAATAACAAAGCCCTTGTTAACAACTCCACGACAATAAAATAAATAGAATACACTGACTGAATGCTAGAATTGACAAACCTGAGAAGGAAAGTATGTCCACAGATTAATTACAAGATTAGAATAAAGAAAACACAAGGTTTAAGTCACCTTAGAACATGACTAGCTGTTGAGTTTTGGTGATATTCTTGCTTGGTGAGTGAGAATTGTGCAGAATTTTTTCTTATCTTCCACTCCAAATAACAAGCAAAGCAATTATCATCACCATCTTCACCAAACTTATCTAATTCAATTCCTCTTTTTTTGCTACTGGGACCAAACACGTACTCACCTTTAATGAAGCCCACAAAAATGTCTTAAACTTTTTGTTAATCAAGTATTATCATATTATTAATATCTTAATTGACCTCTCAACCCCCTCCATTATCAAATAAAAAACCAACCTCTCAATCAGATGAACAATGTAATTCTATAGCTAATTTTGACTTTCCCCGGTAGCAAACTTAAGTAATTGTAATCGTTTAAAATGTTCTAAATTTAACCGGCCAAATCGATTTATTGACTGAACTAAATATCTTTTAATGAGGTTAAACTAAAGATAGTAATATTAATTTGACAGATTTACAGATTCCAGGAAAAGGAACATGGTAAAAGCAAATGTATGAAAACAGAAAGAAAGTCGCATATTCTCACAAGAACACAACAGCTGTTTGGGGATAGGCAAAGAGTCGGTGACTGGACCCATCTGAGTCTTTATTTTGTCCCTCCGCGTTTCCTCCGCAAATACATTTTCTCTTTCCTTTGTGTGCAAGCCTGTTTAATATTTTACATAATAATTAAACAACTTCAAAAGATTGATATCTATAAAAAAAAAAAAATAACAACCTGTTAGACTATGCTGGCCTGTAGGCTGTAGTCCACACTCGAACAAATTACTCTACGTGTGAAACTGTTCACTAGTCTACTATATATAACTCATTGCTTTCTCTTTTTTCTCTTATCACATTTCGTATCTATTTCTCTCTCACACAAAGATGGCTTTCTTTCTTTGCTTTCTCTTCTTTCTTTTGTCTTCTGCAACTGCTTGTGATCGCTGTGTCCACCAAACCAAGGTTGCTTATTTCTCCAAAGCCTCTGCACTTTCTTGTAAGTCTCCTGCTATGATCATTTATTTTATTTTATATGGTTAATTAATTACTGGTGAAATTTTTAATTTGGCATTGACCCAGATGATATTTTGAGGAGGCTTTTGATGGGTAATTTTTATTTTCTTGATTTGATGCAGCTGGAGCTTGTGGGTATGGTTCCGTGGCAGTAGAAATGAGTGGTGGACACCTTGCAGCTGGTGTTTCTCATCTTTACAAAGATGGAGCTGGTTGTGGTGCTTGTTTTCAGGTATATATATATACATTTTGTTCATTGTTAATTAATTTTTAGAATTATAATTGGTTTTAACTTTATTATATACACATATTTTTGACAGATGAGATGCAAGGACAAAACTCTATGTAGCACCAAAGGAACCAAAATAATTTTGACTGATCTTAATAAAGATAACAAAACAGGCTTTGTTCTAAGCAGTAGAGCTTTCATGGCCATGGCTAACAAGGGCAAGGGCCAAGACGTTTTGAAACTTGGACTTGTTGACGTGGAATACAAAAGGTGAACAAATATGAACCCCAATTTTTGACATTATTATATCATTATTTTATTTTTTTTCTTTCAAATAGTTTTGTCACAATGACCCATTACATAAAATAATTGGCCACAGTAATCAACTTTAAACATTACATTATTCAACTCACCCCACCTCCTGCCGGCTGCCACAATCACATTAATTGCCAGTAACGGTCCAAAACATAATTCATATTTTATATTCATTCAGGGTTCCATGTGAGTACAAAAACAAGAATTTGGCTGTTCGGGTGGAAGAATCAAGCAAGAAACCAAATTACTTGGCGATTAAAGTGCTGTATCAAGGTGGTCAGACAGAGATAGTAGCAATGGATGTGGCCCAGGTTGGTATAAAGAAATGGGCTTACCATTCAATTTAGGTTTAAGTAAATTACAATTCTGATGAATTGGGTTGTTAAATATGTGATTTCCACAGGTGGGTTCTTCCAACTGGGGATTCATGAGCAGAAGTTCTGGGGCGATTTGGGATACAAGTAGAGTGCCAAATGGAGCATTGCAGTTTAGGTTTGTGGTAACAGCTGGGTACGATGGGAAGTGGATTTGGGCACAAAATGTTCTTCCTGGTGATTGGAAACCTGGAGTTGCTTATGATTCCGGAATTCAGATTACTGATATTGCACAAGAGGGCTGCTCTAAGTGTGATGATGGAACTTGGAAATGAGAGGAGTTCAATTAGTTGTTACTACTAATTTTGATTTGATTCCTTGGACGTATACATAATCAAATAATTTAGAGGATTAGAAAATGAAGGTAGAGGAAAAGTCTATATATATTCCAATTCTTTTTTGGCATATATTTATTGATGATAGAAGTTTGTAACATAGGTTTATGTACCTCCTTAAATAATAAAATTTTGAATTGGGTATTATATTCTCTCCTTCTGTTCCATTCCATGTGTGAGAGACATGTCACGTTACTTTCATTAAAATCAGTAATATCATTTAACAAAGCATAATAACTTTACCTTGTTGGGGTGCACTTCCTCCTTGGAAAGCTTGAAAATATTTTAATCACTTCCTAACACACACTTTTCTTTTCTACGATTATACAGGATTGAATGAACTTATAATCTTAAAACAGAACAGTTTCTCAGCCCATTAGAGCTACCGAGAAAAAGGGTGGAGATTAACCCATCATCAAGGGCTTATGGGGCAGAACGTGTTCATAAGTGGGCATATCTGGCCTGATGCCAAGGTTTAGCTGGGACCATTTGTTTTACACCATCGGTGTGGTGCGTTTCATAAACTTCCTTACCGGGCTTGAAAGTAACCCACCAATTTGAAGGCAATCAAAAAATACTGAGTTGTTCATTTGACAAAGCCTGCCAAACTCAAGTCTAATTCATTTTTCCTGGCTTCTTGTATCAACTACTTCTTAAGTAGATACAGATTTTTGCAAAGGTTGTATAAAAGTATTTAAAGAATTGGTAAACCAGATGTCCAAATACGCTAAACAAACAACACTTCGCAAAATTTGATGGAAGAAAAACAAAAAAGGTTGGGAACAGACACTCTTGAATCTGAGTAGAGATTAAAACTCAACTCTGGCCCATGGGCCACATATGGCCTGATCCCAAGCTCTAATTAGACCAGATCGGAA